TCCTGCATTGGAAAGGTTCTGAAGAAAGGAGACTGTGAGTCCTCGGCAACAGAGATGCCTGGTTGGACTTAGGAGTCCAAGGTTTTAGTCAGAGCAATGCCTGTGAAAGGAAAAAGGAGGAAGCAGGACCAAAAAGGAGGAGCCAGTAGACCACAGGGTGCAAACCTGACAAAAGCCAAGAGGAGCTCCAAAGCAAACGTGGCCTCAGCCAAAAAGGATGAGGTCCTTGTACCACATCATGCTCAGTCACTGGCTGGGGCCACCCTGAGGAGGAGTGAGCTGTCTGTCAGCTGGAGGCTGACTGCTAATCGGACTCCCAGCAGCCAACCGGGTTCTTTCTAGAAGGAGGATCTGAGAGCTGTTATCTGCATCTCCATGTCTGCCACAGGGACTAAGGGAGGAAAGGGGGCAAACCCCAGTTTTGAAAAAGGGGCTAGGAATTTAATTGTGCCCATCAAGGACCCAATGGGAAGCCTTATTAGGCATCCTATTTGGGGGACTTGGGCCCCCTATATTGTACTTCACTCCACCCCCAAATCTTCAGTGAATCTCTCGGTCCAATGACATTGTGAGGAATTACAGGGATGAGGCAGCTGGGAAAGTGTGGCCTTCCCCACCTCGTCCCTGCATCCCAGCTGCCACCCAGAAACCACACTGCAGTTAAAGTCCTGGATTTCCCAGAAGGCAGCAGAGGACTGAGACCCAAGAGGGAGCCAACTGTGAAAACAGACTGAGGGATAGCCCTTCCCAAACACAGCAGTGGAAAGCAATCCTGCACCTGAGGGAAGAGATCAGCCTGTCTTTAAGAACCTTTTGCTTGCTGCTACACGGGGTTCCAGTAGAAGACCTATACAAACACTGGATGGATGATTTCTAAACAATGTCCACACACACCTGCCGAAGTACAGGGCCATCAGGAGAAAAAACAGAAATTGAATAAGCTGTGCAACAGAATTATGAGATTGTAAACAGAGCAAATCTCACAAAACTAATAATCCATTACATTTAAATAGGCAGAAACTGTGTTCGTCTCTGGCACCCACAGACCCAGTCACTGTTTGTTTTGTTGTTGTTGTTTAAATAAATTACTTGTCAACCATTAAACATCAAATATTTCCTATGGAAATCCAGATTCTATCTTTTGTTTAAAAATCCTAAGATCCGACGCTAAGTGAAATAAGCCAGTCGGTGAAAGACAAATACCACATGATCTCACCTTTAACAGGAACCTAAACAACAAAACAATCAAACAAGCAAAATATAACCAAAGAGACTGAAATGGAGAACAGGCTGACAGCGACCAGAGGGGGGAGGGGAGGGAATTTCAAGGGGAAAGAGGACGGGTTTACAGGAACAAGTATAAAGGACACATGGACAAAAACTAGGGGGGGTGGAAATAGGAGGGAGGGGGAGGGCTGGGTGGGCTGGGATGGGAGTAAAAGACAGAAAACTGTACTTGAACAACAATTAAAAATAAATTAATTAATTTTTAAAATCAACAATGAAAACTGACATGTAATGTCAAAAAAAAAATCCTAAGACCCGGCAATGCTAGACTGGCATTCTAAATGTCAAACGTGAGCGGAGCTAAGTGTGCCTCAGCTCTGTGGCTACAGGTCAGCGGGACCCACCCTCCCTCGCTGGCTCCCAGCCACTGAGGTCAGGTTAGGCCAACATTGTCACTGAGTTTACACCATCACCTGAAGTTGAAACCTGTCTATGTCAATGTGTAAGAGGTCAGGAGAGAAGATAAATTCACTGTAGAGAAACAAATCAAAGCACAACTGCTTTTAAGGTAATCTGACCATAGTCATCCATTTAAAACATTTGACCCAAGGTACAAACAGATTTGCCACACACACACACACACACACACACACTGTACATTCAAGGTTGTTCGTTACAGCAGTGTTTGAAATAGCAAAACACTGGTAGCCACCTAAATGTTCATCAGGAGGAGACTGGCCAAATAAATGATGGAATACCCACACCGTGGACTACTGCACAGCTATTTTTAAAGGGAGAGAAAATAGAGGAGATCTATTGTGCACTGCTCAGAACTGCCTCTGAGAGTGTATTTTAAGAAACAAAAGAAAGAAGGGGAAGGAAAGAAGAAAGAAACGAAACCAGCGATTTGACTGGACTAGTGAAGTACAGTGTCATTCCATTCATGGGAACATTTTTAAGGGGAAAATGCACATAAATTCGTAGGAAGTTTCTGGAAGAATACGCAAGATGAAGTGCTGTGCGCGCAGTAGGTAAAAGAAGCCATAGAGAAGAATTATTTTTTTACTTTTCACTTCAGAACCTTCTCTTTTTAAAATCACGAACATGTGTTATTTTATGACTTAAAGAATAGATGTTTTAATGATCAAAACAGAAACACATTGGTAATGAAAGTAAAATTCCAATTCACAGAAAGTTAATTTCTAAAAAAATTGTCATTCTCCAACATCAGAAAAGTTGAGTGTAGCTATTCGTAACCGACAGGGAGTCAGACTGTCATGAGTCAGTGTTATTTAACAGATGGAAATAAAAATGCCTACCTCACTGGATTAGAAATATTCAATACAGTTTGTAGAAAGCACCCAAACTTTGCCTGCATTTAGTAAGTATTCAATGAAAGTCACCATCCCCGGCCTTCCCCCACTACTCAATCCTGACTTGTGTCAAAGATGATACATGAACCAATAACCCATCTGGGATGACTATAGCAAAGACCATGATTTAAATTCCATTCCAGGTGAATTTCCTTCTGGACCACAGGTGACCCTTGAAGAAGACAGGAGTATGGTCCTCAATCACAGAAGCATTTCCTCAAGATCTGCAGGTGGTACCAGCTCCAAACAAGAGCAATCCCTTTGCCTATTAAAGTTCCCATTTCAGAGAGACTCCTACACACTCATGCATTTCCTCCCAAAATAGCCTACCCCCATCTCCAATAAACCAGCTTGATGAGCAGCAGAAGCTAGAGACCCCCCACACTTCTATCCTTTTCTTTTCACAGATTCCCCTCCCTAGTGTCCCCTGTGCTCTCCCAAATAGGGCTTGAGGCCAAACCTCAGCCCTGCCCAGATGAGGAGAGGCCAGGTTCAAGAAGTTCCCAAGACAGAATTCTCTTCCCAGAATCCTTTGCTCTCTGGAGTGTGGTCTTCCTCCCTCTCCCAGCAACCTCAGTTCCTGGATTTGGCTGCAGACTCTGGGCAGGTGAGGAGAGATCAAATTCTCCCTGCAGGCCTGTCCCTTTGAACCAAAAGTCCTCCTACACACCCTCCCCCCAGCCCCCCACACAGGTGGACGCTGCCGGGAAGGGTTCTCACAGTGCCTTATCTGGGAACAGGGGAGGAGGAAGAGCAGTGTCACACTATCCCGCCTGTTGTCAATAATTCATGAGTTTCAGACTGAGGGGCACCAGGCAGAGAGTCAGTTTTCTCCGGATATGGGGAATATTAGACTTAAGCTCTCTTATCTCCTTGGGATGTGCTGAGTACCGCATCTCGGTTGAGGAATAGACTATAAATCTTGTATGTTGTTGTACCATTTGCTACCCAAACACCCCCTTTTGACTGCTGAAATCCCTCTTTGTTTTAGCTGATCAACTGACCTATACACAGACTAAATAAATCTTTAGCAAGTATAAATCCTGTTTAAGAGCAAATCCCTAAAACTGAGTTTCACAGATCTGCATCCTCTCTCCTCTCACTGAAGGGACTGACAGGTTTGCCAGACTGGCGATTTCACCAACACTTTTCTCAACCCACCTATCTGCTCTCATCATCTTTTCTTAAGAAAAAGAGGACACTCACACACACAAAGAAAAGAGCAAAAGCCTGTGTCAGAATAAAGGAGTATCTGTTAAGTTAAATAAGCTTAGCTTTACGAACTTACTACATTTTCTTTGTTTTCCTCACTTTACCTTGAACTAGAGAATGCTTTGCCATGGGTCAGTGCTTCTTCTCAGTCTGGCTTTTGGAGGCTAAACCGATGCAGACGCTGCACTTGGGTCTGCCAGGGCCTTTCTGCAGTATATCATAAGCCATCCAGATCTATTAATTCTCCCAGAAACCTAGGAGGGAGATCATTTCAGCCTACTTGGCAGAAGTGGAGGCTAAAGTCTTGGACACAGAATTTATAGCTGGAGAGGACTTTAATCATCTACTCCAGCATCTCTGGTTTACAGATGAGGAATCTGGCCTGTAGCAGCAGTAATAATTACTTTACAGTGGCAATAATTACTATGTTTAGTAGTTATAGTTTATAAAGTGCTTTTATGTTCAACGAATATTTACTGAACTAGGATGAAGACTAAGACCCGGGGACTTGATGATTGTGGAGAAATGAGTGCCCCTGAGACCTAGTTTCTAACCCCACTGGTTCTCAGCCCTGTCCAGCTAGGATCTCCATCCCTGCACGCTGGTTACCACAGTGATCAGAGTCTTCCCTCCAGGCCTGTCAGGATGAAGGAGATTTTGAGCTACAGCGAAGGGCAGTGCCAGGACGAGCCCAGCTGCTCCCCATCATATCTCTCTCCCAGGCTCCTCCACCCTCACCCCTCCCCGTGCAGTGACTTCGCGGGGAGCGCAGGCCTCACCTCCATGGGCAATCTCAAACCATTTGCCCTGTTATGGGCTGTCACATATTTAGACTCATACTTTTTCGGAGAAGGTGGTCCATTCTGAGGTTCTAGGAAGCAAAAGCAAGCAACTCAAAGCTGCCTCTCCCCACCGCCACCCCTGGAAAATAACGTGAACAGGCAGATATGGAAGGAGGGGTGCAAGGAAGTCTGTGGGTTCCTGCAGGAAATCTGGACGCACAGCACTCCCATACCCACCAGAACCAAGCTGGGGGGGGCGCGGAGGCCGTGAGCCGGCAGGGGGCGCCCGCAGCCACGGCCGGCTCTCGGTACAAAGAGTCGGTGCTGAGCAGGAGGAGCCTTGCAGCCCGAGGGCGGACCCGGAGCCGGGAGCCGAGCACGCCATAGGAGGCGGCCTGCCACTGGCACCTCCCTCGGGGTGGTGTTGAAGCCTGCACAGCCATGTATAAGGCCGGGCTGCTGCTGGGAGGCTGTATCAGGTCGTGGAAGTCAATACGGATGGCCAGCTCCAAGGTGGCGCGCCGGGACCCGCTCTCGAATAAGGTGGCCCTGGTAACGGCCTCCACAGACGGGTGAGTGCCCAGGCCGGAGTCTTTGAGACTCCCGCTGTCTAGAAACAGGTGTCCTTTGCCTCTCGCTGCACCGGAAGTAAGGAACCACGTGGTTGGCCTGGGGTTGGCCCCCAACGAATACCACTCACTGCTGCCCGTGACTCAGCTGCCTGTGGCTGGACTGCACCAGCTCAGTACCGCCCCCAGCAACCCAGAGTCTCAGGGCTCTGGGCTGTCCCAATCAACTGGCCCCACTTTCAGTCTAGGAAGAGAAGACACCAGAAATTCAAGGCAGCTCCGATTTCAAAAATGTCCCACTGCCTCCATTGATTATGGAAATGTTCCGGACACCCCATCTGGACACCCCAACAAGTGTCCTAGAACCACGCCCCTTATCTAGACAGGACACAGATTCCTGTATCTGGATTTTTGTTTGACTGAGTACCTTTGGCCTCTCCCTTGCACAGCCTGTCTCTCACCAACTGCTCTTGTCTATACTGCACATTCCCACTGGATTTTGCTAGACACCAGCTGTACACAAATCTAGAATACAAATGTACTCGAAATGCTAATGGCTAACAGTTGCAAACTGTGTAACCCTTAGTCCCAGGAAAGTAATGTAAAAAATTTACATTTTTAACCACAGACCCACCCTTTCATATGCAGCCCAAAGCATAACTAATGATAGAATTTTGAAATGATGCAGTATAGCTAGAAAGTTATTTGGGGCAGGGCTCTTTTGAGTGAGACCCTCCAATCATGGAAATGGATGCTGCTACACCCCTAGCTCATTTCTTTTGCCTCAGTCCCTACAGCACATGGGGCCTGTCATCCATGGGGGGCCTGTAGAAGGCGATGTCATTTTCTGGGGACCTAATGTGAGGGTCAAAACCATAAGAAAATTAAGTAAATGAATGCCCAAAAGGAGAGCTAGAATTCACACAGGGGCAGTCTAACTCCAGGGCCCAGGCTCTCAACCTCTTCCTGGTACTTGGCCTTGACAGTGCATGTCTCTCTCTGCCCGCAGGATAGGTTTTGCCATTGCCAGGCGTCTGGCCCAAGATGGGGCCCATGTGGTTATCAGCAGCCGGAAGCAGCAGAATGTGGACCGGGCAGTGGCAGCGCTGCAGGGGGAGGGACTGAGTGTGACAGGCACCGTGTGCCACGTGGGGAAGGCCGAGGACCGGGAGCAGCTGGTGGCCACGGTGAGCAACAAGGGTATGGGCACAGAGCCAGGAAGTGGCAGAAGGGCACCAGCCTGAGCCTCCTTCCCTGCTTCCCGGACAACACTGATATGGTCCAAGCCAGCACTTATCAACTAAAACATAACAGTGTGCCCTGCAAACCCACACCAGTCCGTCTGCTGCACACTTTTATTGTGTGCCTTTCTGTTCTGTCTCCAAGAACTATCCCATCCCGGTCAGAGAATCAGTGAGTGCTTCAACCCTGCATCAACCCTTAAGGGCACCCCAAAAAATAGCGGGTCCTGGTTCTCCAGTAGTTTCCAGTCTAATTGGGCAGATGAGAAAGGTAGATACAATCACAAAACAGATGTTCCCACCTGTGAGAGGATCAGCAATCCATGCCCTGTCCCTCAGTGTAGAGGCAGTCTCTAGGAACCCGCAGGAGGCAGCCACCATGTTTTGGCCACCTACTGTGTGCCATTCACTGTGTTCAGAGGCTTACATAGGTTACATCCAAACCCGATAACAACCCAAACAAGGCAAGGACCGTTCTCCCTGTTCACATTCTTCTCAGAAAGGTGGAGCCATATCCCAAGGTCCCACAGCCTGTAAGAAAGGAGCTGGGAGTCCACCCAGGCCTGCCAAGCTACCAGGCATTTCCCCATTATCGTCAGGTCAGGCCTTGGATGCCCATTTGGACTTTACTCTCAAAGACAGTGTCTAAGCCAGCATCAGAGTTGGTACCTGCACCAGCTTTCCAGCTACACAAGAAAACACGAATATCTGGCTAATGAGCACCCCCTTCTCTCAGGCTCAGGGCCTACTCTTTGTTCCCTGGAGTGGAAAGGAGCATCTACCCAAGGATGGGAAGTGCATGAATGTGCTCCTGAAGGCTGGCAGAAATAATGTGGGTAATCTTAGAAGAGGGGGATGTTAAACAACGGTGGGTGGCGTAAGATCATCTGTATTTAACGGACCATTTAGGAGTGCTCAAACGCGCATTAGAGAGGGCCAAATATAGGTCCAGAAAGTCACCTTGTCTGGCACAGGCTGCTGGACAGAGCCTGAGATTTGGGACCTTGAACCCGAGGGTGAAGGGAGCTATCTGGGATCCTGGGCCAATTAGTGACTAGTCATTCGAAATGTATATAGCAACTTAATGTCAAAATCCTGCCAGGAAAACCACCTCTCACCCCATCTGTCCTGCAGCCCTTGCCCAGTGGGGGGGGGGGGGGCAGTTCGCAAGACCTTGAGGAGTGGGTGGGATAGAAAGATGGAATAGGACGGGATTCCAGATGACCCTGCAAAGTGAGCAGACAGCCAAGGGGGGGCCGAGGCAAAGAGGGGAGCACTGTCAGTTTCTAGCAGAGAGCGCAGGTTCAGGGGTGCTGGTGTAATGGGCTGGTGGGAAGGAGGGGGCACGGAGGCCTTCGTGGTCTCCCAAAGGAGAGTGGATGTCCTTACAGGAACTAAGAGGCCATGTGAGGTTTTGAGCAAGAGGCACATGGTTATAAAAGACAGAATCTGGCACTGGCAGGAAGGATGTATTGGAGTAGAGAAAGCTCTCAGCCAGGGATGTCAGTGAGGAAGTTGCTGTCATTCAAGTCTAGGGCGACGGTGGTGGGACCAGAATGGATATGCCCAAAGACGTTTAGTGGGAACCAACCAAGATATTTTGTCTAACCTGGTGTCAAGAAGTGGATGGGAAACTGGAGGGAGGAGTCAAAATGACCCTCAGGGCGAAGTCAGGATGGAGAACAGCAGGCCGCTGGTTCGCAGTGTAGGATGTGTTCTGTCTGTTGCCCGCCATCACCCTGCAGTGAGGAAGGCCGCTGCCCCCAGGGTGGTTACCACCCAGTGGCTGCCCAGTCTGCACCTTGAAGCTTCTCAAAAGTGTGGTGAGTGGAAACCAGATCAGACACTTCTCCACTTGATTATGCTTTTTCTAAAAAATGGACCGATCAGAACACAGAGCAAACAGCGCTTAACCACTTTTGTGCAGTGATGGCACAATTTAGAGAAAGACTTAGAAGACACCAGCTGGGTAGTCAGAGAACCTTTCTCATTCATCTTCTGTGGTTCTCAATATCTGTCCCTCAAAACCCAGCCTCCTCCCCTCTCTGTGCTGGTAGGCCTGGAAGGAGAGGGGGCCGAGATGCACAGCAGAAATGAAAAAGTGTTCCAGGTGATTCTGGTGCAACACCCCATCTTCTCCCCACGCTCAAACGGACGTGCACAGGGCACGGCACTCATCACTTTCTAACGTGCTCTGCGCTTTCCTCGTCACAAGGCCAGACTTCGGCAGAGCCAAGTGGCTGGGGCTTTGTGCCAGGACACCAAAATTTAAAGAGCACAAGAAAGTATTGATACCGATTTTAAGAGATTATGCAATTTCAAATTTTTGCAAAATATACACATTGACAGCTCAAGCGCTCCTTCAGCGGTATAGAAACATCTGAGCTTTGCACCTAGTTGGCAAGAATAATTAGTTAAAATGGAAGCTAGCAGATGGTGCACATTGTTAATGACACGCCTCCCCGAGCCAAATCCTGAAGCACAAAGTTGACCGAGGGCCCATTTACTGCTGCTTGCCCCAAGCGTCAAGATCGCCAGTTCTGAGCAAATGCGAACTCTGGTTTCAGGGTAGTGTATTGTTGGCAGATTCTCTCCGACCACTCATTAATCTGTGCATGACTGCCACCACCTCCTTACAACTTACTAAGGAAGTGAGGTGTTATCTTTCTTGGTTTTCCCAGTTTCCGTCTCAGCTCTGCCTTGAATCTTCTACGCCTCCAAGCCAAAAGAAAGGTGGGACGGTGGGGAGGGGGCGTTATAACCAAGTGTGGAGCTGGTTTAAGCCCAGACTGCTGTGCTCCCCATCAGACTGGTATCAGGTCTGCCACCACCAGCTAGCTTTGTGCCCTGAGCAAGTCCCTTTGCCTCTCCCAAAGACCGAAGGCCTCCTATTCCTGGCTATTCCTAATAGGTCATTCCTGAGCTATAAGGCCTTGAGAAATTCACTTCCCTGGACCCCAATGTCATCACCGTCACCAAGAGGACATGGGACTAGATGACCTAAGAGCTCCCCCACCCCCGCCCATGGTAACTATCTGTAGTCTAAACTAGTTTCTCTGTTCCAGTACGCATGGACTGGTTGAGTTTAAGGTAATGGTAACAGTAAGCACTTGGGGAAATGGGGCTGGGACTCAGTGTGAAAAGAGGAAGGGTCTAGAAATAGATTTTGAGGTGACAGCAAGGCTGTGAGAACAGAGAAGCTCCCCAAAGAGAAAGTGTAAAGAGTAAAGGGTCCGTGACAGCCTTAAAAGAAGTGGGGGCAAGAAGAAAAGATGCCCCTGAAGTTAGACAGCCTTCAGTGTTCAGCAGCCGAGGTTAGGGCAGCCTTGGAGAAAAACGTTTCGAGAAACAGAGATGTCATTTCGCCAGCATTTTGTTCCTAACAAAGAATTCTTTTTTTTTTTTAAGATTTTATTTATCTTTAGAGGGGAAGGGAAGGAGAGAGGGAGAGAGTGTCAGTGTATGGTTGCCTCTCATGGGTCCCCTGCTGGGAACTGGCCTGCAACCCTGGCATGTGCCCTGACTGGGAATCAAACCGCAATCCTCTGGTTCACAGGCCCGAGTTCAATCCACTGAGCTACACCACCCAGGGCCTAACAAAGAATTCTTTATCAGCATTGATAAATGCGCCTCCCCCACTGACCCGATGCCCCATTCAGCCCCGACTCTCTCCAGGCTGTGAAGCTTTGGGGAGGCATCGACATCCTGGTCTCCAACGCTGCTGTCAACCCCTTCTTTGGAAACCTAACGGATGTCACTGAGGAGGTGTGGGACAAGGTAAGAGGCGATTTATGCAGCAGGGGGCCGGGGGAAACAGCAAAAACTCAGTCTGCTTTTAGATTGTGTTTGTCAAGTGCGATGTAAAAGTGAAGGATCCTTGCAATTTGCCGTGCACCTGGAGTGCACCTGGTAAAAGCCCAGTGGGGGGTGGCTTCCTCTCTCCCTGCCCATCTCTTCTTTCACTGCTGCCTCTCCCAGTTTTGTCTGCTTCCATCTGCTCCTTGCTGACTGCCTTCCTCCCTACACCCTCAGCGCCACTCTGCCCTCAACCAGGCTCACCCAGGCTCTTCTTCCCAGTTAATTTCCAGCACACGTGGCAGCTCATCCGCCGACAACTAATACACTTAAATTTGTACACCACCCGTCCCTTTTTTCAGCTGCCAAAAATTAGTATTTCTCATTAGTTGGAAGACTTTACTTCCTACTAGCTAAGTGAAATACCAATTCTGGTGAAATGACCTGTTTATAATATGTTCCACACACCTACGTTTTTAATTATAAAGCTTTGATTAAATTATTTGTCTTTGTTTATTAAGGTTACTATTCCCTCATGATTTGGAAATGTTAGGTGTTTTGGGGATTGCCCATGGTTTTGCCTTTTTTCTGATGTCATCAGTAATATCTCGACTCTGAAGTTTAGAGCCCTAAAATATCACACTTTATCAGCGTTTCACAGAGATAGAGACCAAAGTGCCGAGTGCTTAAGTTCCTGATTGATATTCTTTAAAGTAGACAAACATCATCTTTCACGAGCAATGTGAATGGAGCCCACAGGAAAACAATTTTAAACCAAGTAATTTTTCTGTTTAGTTTGCATTTTTAAAAAGTATCATAGTACATCAAATCTAAATGCCAGCATTGATTCTTGATTGAACCTTGGATTTTTAATGTAAGGGCACTTGGGGGACAGTTGGGGAAACTTTATCATGGACAGCACCTTAGGTAAAAACCGTCATTCTCGGTGGTAAATTTCCCGGCTGTCACCATGGACTGTGGCCTGTAAGGGAACATTCGTTAAGTATTTAGGGTCAGAGCCTTATGACGCCTGCAACTCAGCCTTCAGTGCCTCAGGGAAGTAAAAACACGTAGACTGGCACATGGGACAAATGGGGACAGCTGCAGAATCTAGGAAAGGATATTCATCATACTTCTATTTCAACTTTTCTGTAAGACTGAAGTTTTTCAAAGTAAGAAGTTTGCCGGGGGGGGGGGGCGTGAGGAGGGACCACCCAGCAGCACCTAGAGCAGTGTAAACAGGGCCCTGTGCTTGTGGTCAGTTGTGGATGTGGGGCTTTGATTCCAGCCTGTACCCCAGCTTCCCGCAAAAGTGCCTCCTCATGACCCCACTTTCCAACAGATGTCCGCCCAGCAGTTCGTCCTGCAGGGCCAAGAGCAGCTCAGTCCCTGAATTCAGGAGGCAGGGGAGTGCTGGGACGCTTCACCGGACAGGGGGCAGGCCACATTTTCCCTGAGAAGCACGGCCCACACCCTGGCAGATCCCAGGAGACCAACCTAACTCCAGACTCTCTCTAGTCAGAGGAAACACAGAAAATCCAGCTCAAATCCAAAGTAGCCCTGAGAGTTTAGGCTCATTCTAAGCCAAATCATTCAAGTACATGGCTTTCTGGGAAACGAGATGGAGCAGGCTCCATTAGGTCTTCCAAACCTAATCTTTCATTCTCCAGCTGAACAAGCTGGGGAAAGGCACTTCTCCCTGAGCTCGGCTTCATTGGCAAGGTCCTGGGAAATCATCTCTAAGATCTCTGCCAGCCCTAACAAGCAGATCTCGGGGACCCTATTATGACTCCTCACCCTCCTGCCCTCTCGAGCTCTCTCCCCTCATGCCGTTTCCCCTTCCTCTCTCTGTTTCAGATTCTGGACATTAATGTGAAGGCCACAGCCCTGATGACAAAGGCAGTAGTGCCAGAGATGGAGAAACGAGGGTACAGAGAATGAGAGGGAGCCTGGGTGCGGCGGGCCACCTGTGGTCTGAGGGTGGGTTGTCTCTGCGGGGAAATGGGACATTCATTCTCTTCTTTTTCTAGAGGCGGCTCAATAGTGATTGTGACCTCCGCAGCAGCCTACACCCCGTTTGCTGTAAGAACCCATTCTTTGCTACTTCCTTCCCTTCCCGCATCCTGCACCTTTCCACCCTTCCTGTCATATTGGGAAATTCGTGTCCCCTTTTGGAATCACACCACCAAGTCCCTTCCCATAAACAGATGCTTTGCCCCCACGAACCCTAACCTAGGGGAGGTTTAGCCACGAGACAGTTTTCTACCAGGAACCCTCCCTTTCAGGAGATGCCCTGTTATCCACTGCCCTTTATGTCTTCTAATCAGGACCAAGAGAGAACCCGAAACAAAGAAACTAACCCATTTTCTTCTTTCCCCAGGGCCTGGGCCCTTACAATGTTAGTAAAACAGCCTTGCTGGGCCTGACCAAGAACCTGGCCAAAGAGCTGGCCCAAAGGAACATTAGGGTAAACGGCCTGGCACCCGGACTCATCAAGACTAACTTCAGCCAAGTGGTGAGCAGGGGGAGTCCCGCATCCTGCTGGGGAACCCTGGTGCCTGGGTCCTGAGCTCTCAACCACTCCTGCCTGCCTCCCAGGCTTTTCTCTAGTTCCCCTCCATGCCAGGCACCTGTCCAGACCAGACCCGCTCCTTTCTTTTTATTGATAGACTGATTGATTTTACAGAGAAAAACATTGATTTGTTGTTCCACTTATTTATGCCTTCACTGATTGCTTCTTGTAGGTGCCCTGGCAGGGGTCCAAACCCTCAAGCTTGGTGTAGCGCAACGATGCTCTAACCAATTGAGCTACCTAGCCAGGGCGACCTGCTCCTTTCTTGAGGAGTGCAGTGGCGACTGAGAGATTCAGACTCTGTTCACACCGGTCCATATCTCCATAAGTGGGTGGAAACTGGGAAGACTCAGGGAAATGCCTCACTAGAATCTGAAAATAATGAAACAGGAGAAGGCCATGGGGGAAGACCGGGGGCTAGGAAGGACTAGGAAGTGAAAGAGGGCGTCTCTCTACCCTTCCTCTGAAGTGATGTGAGAGTGGACAGTTTCTCCCCTCTCTGTTCCTCCCTTTCTTCTTTTTTCATGTAAAGAAATTCCCTTTTCCTGCAGCTTTGGATGGACAAGGCAAGGGAGGAGAAAATAAAAAAAGTCCTGCAGATAAGAAGGTAAGGCTGTCACAGAGTTAAGAGGAGTAAAGATGGAAAGGTCTGGTCCCTCTCCCAGCGCACATCTTGTGTCTCTTGGTTCCATGTTCAGCAGGGGCATGCTCTCCTCTGCATCAAACACACAATTCACAAGCTTGTGAACACTGCATCAGTAGAGTGGGGGGGGTGTAGAGCGGGTGCCCAGGTTTCAGCAGAGAAGAGCTCTGGGAGAGGCCCTGACTCCTCTCCCCAGCTAGCTGTTTGCCTACACCTCTAGACACCCCTAGCTCCCAGGGACCAAAACCAAAACATGTTTTTTTAATTCTCTTTGAATAAAGAATCATGTTTTCAAAGCTCAGGTTGATGACCCTGCAATCCAAATAAAAGGAATGAAGATCTTTTACTGAGCCCCAAGACTCCCTTTGCCCTAGAAAACCAACCCTTTCCCCAAGGGGCTGGATGAACTGGTCAGGTACTTTCATGTGTCTCTCTTTCCTCTAAGTTCCCTGCCTCTTTCCAACTTCTGCCTTCTGGGAACTCTCTGGGCTTTAACTTCCCCATTCATCCTTCAAGGGCTACTTGTGCAAACAAGGCCTGCTGAAGGACAGAGGCCCCTCCAATGCTCCCAAAGCCATTCTGACAGGCTGAGCTGCAGGCCCAGCTCACAACTCACTAATTAGTCAGGGTATTGTCATCTTAGAGGGCCATCTTTGGTGGGGCAGGGTGTTGAGCCTTCCTGATGATTACAATGTGCAGCTGGGATGAAGAACCACTAATCCAGGCCTTCTAGGTCTGAGATACCCACTCAGCCCCACTCTAGAGCATTTTACGGCAGTTATGTTAAAGCGTTCCCAGCTATGCAATCACTGATACAAACACCGAGAATTAGCACATTCTCACAAAACGAACCTGACTCTAAGGGACAAAAATAGATTCCTGAAAAAGCTGTCTGTGGATTGAAGCTGTGCAAATGCAATCATTTTAAACAAACCACTTACTGTCACGGACTCCCCGACACTTGACCAGCATGCACATGTGTGAAACAAATTCTTTGAAGTATGAACTAGCTACTCACCACTTCATCTGTGTAACTTTGGATTTTGGTGTCCTGAGCTCTCTAAAGCAGCAGTCCCCAGCCTTTCTGGCCCCAGCACCCATTTCTCTTGTGAAAGACGGGGTGGGGTGGGATATGAAGGTGGAGCTCAGGCCAGCTTTGCTCTCTGGCCCAGTTCTTAGCAAACTGCAGACTGGGGCTGGGGGCTGGGGGCCCCTGCTCTAAAGAACTAAGTATCTCTATATCATTTGAATGTAATTTACAGTGGTTTTTGCAGAGTATGGTATTTGTGTTTATACTAAGTTATAACTGCTTATCGTCGTCGTGATACCCCTATTTGATGGACTCATACACTGGTCCTGAAAAATCGTCTGATACTTTCTGATTAAGCAAACTTCATTCTCTGTGGGCCAGGTCAGTGGGCCCGGCCTCTTTGATTTTTACTCCCTTCCTTGTCTTCCCTATACTCCAGGACAGGCAAGCCAGAGGATTGTGCAGGCATCGTGTCTTTCCTGTGCTCCGAAGATGCCAGCTACATCACTGGGGAAACAGTGGTAGTGGGTGGAGGGGCTCCATCCCACCTCTGAGGACCTGGAGAGCCCACAAGGACAGAGATTGGGCTCCAACTTCTGGTCCAGTTCCCGCATTCATGGACTGGCCTTTCCCACCACTGCCTATGTACTGCTCACCTTATACCCTACTCCCACCCCTCCCCCAAATTAATTCTGCCCTGTGACAAGATCCAGCCTTCCCTGCTGTCAAGGTTTGGTCTTGAGAATTCCTGCTGTTGCCCCAGCCTTGAATAAAGACTTCCCCTGAGGACACAAGACAGGCCGGCTGAGCTTACCTTGACAAGGAACCACTGATTTTATATATATAACACATTATAATTATATATTATATATAATATAATGTAGTATAGTAGAATATATATATATATATACACCCTTCCCCACCCCACCCTGGCCTCCCAACTGAGAAATTTGAGGGAGATGGAAGAGAAGGAGCCTGGAGTAGGAGGGAGCTGGAAGGTTGGAACTTAACAATCTGCAAATGAGGTACAAATAAAATGCAGATGATCATGGTGGTTTTAAATCAATGTGTTCATTTTTTTTTTTAGTTCGGGGTACACAGATGTGGTAGCTGAGCAGAGAGCATAAGTCTGAGTGGACTGGCTGTCTGGGTCCCTCTAATCCTCCTCCCTTGTCTCCAGGATCTGAGCCTAATGCTCAGGGATGGAAGTATCTGCAGAGCTACCAGCTGGAAGGAGGTGGCAGGGGAACTCCCAGGTGCTACATCCGCAGGGATGGTGCCAAGGGCGCCACAGGAATCCCCAAGGCTGGGTGAGCAGGAAAGGAAGGACAAACTCCCCCAGATTTGGCCAAGTCCTCTCCCTGGAACCCGAGTTCCCTCACAGGTTAGCGAGGGCGAGATGGACCGGCCCAAACAAACAAAAAGGAACAGGCCGTGCAAGGATGACCTGGGGTACCAGGCCCACGAACGAGAGAAACAGGTTTTGCTCAGGGTGCCCTAGCACGATGTCCCCAGCTAGGGAGTTGGCCCGGGCTCAAGGTAACACGCACAGGGCGACGCACGGGAGCCTTTGGGAGGGGTGGGCACGAGCGCGCAGGGTCGCACCAGCCCGCGGCAGTGCGCATGCTCAGTCCGGCACTTCTCCGGTCTGGGTGGGGGACCCGGCGCTGGGAGGCGGGGGCCGGAGCCTCGCGCAGCCGCCCCTGACAGAAGCGGGCTCGGCGACTGCTGCAGCGCTCAGCGCTCGGGCCCTGCCGGAGCCGGATCTAGCATGTGCCGCGGCTCCCCAGCGGCGGCAGCGGCTCCTCTGCAGTGGCAGCAACAGCGGCTGCTATGGCCAAGTCCAGCACGGAGCTCACCCGCGAGCTGCAAGGTACGAGGCTGCGGTGGTCTCCGGGACGCCCGGTCTGGGAGCATCCCAGACCCAGTGCGTTCCTCTCCGCGGCACACCCCAGCCCCGGTGCCTCCTGCCCCCGCCCCAAGCACCCTGGTTGCGAGGCAACCCCTTGCGCCTGCATCTCAGCTCTGGGCATCTGTCCCAGGAGCTTCCTCCGCTGCCCTCCTCGCCTCACCCGAGCAGGACCTTACAGTCCCGGAGCCGCCTGTGCCGATCTTCCATGCAGTCCCCTTGCACTCCCTAAGGCTGACTCTCAGTGCTGCTGGCCCACCCCTCAGCAAGGCGTCCAGTCTCCCCTCTGGAGAGAACCCGTTTCCCCAGCGGGCGGAGCCAGGCCCTCCCGGCCGCGCGAAGGGAGCTGCCCCTGGTCCCGACCGCCTCTTGGCTTCACACCCTCCCTCTCCCAGCCCCGCCCCGGAACTGGCCCCGGAGATCCCCCGTAGCTGCCCAGCAATGCCCCGACCAGTGGGGCAAAGAAGAGAATCAGGAAAGAGGGACTGGTTTGGAGCTAAAAGCAAGAGCAGGGTCTCTGCGACTTGCCTCCCACAACCCCCGTCCCAGCCTGCCCTCTTTTGCATACCCTACACCCACACAGCTCAAGGCCTCTCGTGTTTGCACGGCCCTAAGACTCAGCCCAAACCAAGGCCCCACCCCCTAGCACTGCCACAACCCTGACCCCCAGAGGCAGGAGCACAGGCTAGCCCACGCATAGACCAGGACACTCAAGGATACTCAGGCATGCGGCACCTTGACAATTTCCCCCACCTCCACACACACACAAGCACAAATGCGCGATGTGTGTACACACGTCTTTATAGCACCCGCACCTCCACCTCTCATTCTCTCCCCCGACCCCACTCTTTCAGGATATTTGGCTGGGTACCATCTTATTTAAACACTAACTCCTTCTCACCTCCACCCCACACACACACACCAGAATCTTCTGGCTCTGTACCCCATTCACAACTGTGCGCACAGCGTACTCATTCACACTTACCCACGTCCACCAGTGTCATAGACGGGCTCCGTAGCACCCTCAGAAAGCATGCACACGCGTGTAGTAAAAGGCTGACATGCACACCCAGACCATCTAGAATATAGTCAAAGGGACACCCCCATGCCCCTCCGCACTGACTCACTGTGTCTGGGTTGGCAGTTGTTGGAGTGAATGGGTTAGCAAAATCCTTCTCACCCTCAGAAGTGTCAGACACACCCTCCCACAGAAGTGTCACTCAGTGACTGTCCCTTGACTCAGGAACATCAGGAGCCAGTTTTCTCCACACTCCTGTCCCTCTGTAATAGGAAGAGAAAAGTCACCCAAGAAGTAAAGGTCTGTGTCCCTATCCTTCTCTGTCTCTCTTTTTCTCTCTACTCCCATCTGCCCCTGCCCCTGGAGAGCCCTCGGGAGGGGCGGTGGCCAGGGTAAAGGGAGCTCTGAGCAGGCCCCTACCCACCTGCAGACAGCATCCGGAGGTGCCTGAGCCAAGGGGCAGTGCTCCAACAACACCGTGTGAAGCTGGAGACGAAGCCCAAGAAGTTTGAGGACCGAGTGCTGGTGAGGGCACTAGGCTTAGGAGCAGAGGGAGGTATCAAGGGCAGCTGGGCTGCTGAGAGCAGAGCCTGGGAGGCAGGGGAGACAGAGGTGGGGAAGAGCTGGGGAGAAACGGCCTGGGAGAGGGGCAGGCTGGACGGCTGGATATCCAAGAGGTTAGGAAGGGGCATGAGAGAGGGGAGGACCCCCAAAGCGGAGGGTCCTTACTGGCAGGGGTTGCACACAGGCTGAGGGAACTAAAGGAGGGGTCAATGCCCAGGAAACTCACCATTTGCTGCTGACTTTTTTTTTTCCCCCTTTCTCTGAAGGCCCTGACCTCCTGGCGCCTCCACCTCTTCCCCCTTAAAGTCCCAGCCAAGGTGAGTTGGGCCGAGGAGCAGCGAGCACCTTGCATGCTCCCTCCCGAGCCTGGCAGCCAGACCCTTACCACGAGCTGAGCATCCCCACACCCCCAGGTGGAAAGCTCCTTCAATGTCCTGGAGATCCGGGCCTTCAACACGCTCAGTCAAAACCAGGTGAGCACCAGGGCCTGGGGCCCCTGTTGGGCCAGCGGGAGGGAGGAGCCAATCACTGAGGCCCTGCTGCTCCCTGGCCCCCAGATCCTAGTGGAGACAGAGCGTGGCATGGTGAGCATGCGGCTGCCATCCGCTGAGAGTGTGGACCAGGTGACACGCCACGTGAGCTCTGCCCTCTCCAAGGTCTGCCCTGGCCCTGGGTGAGTGGCAAAGGAGCAATCTCTCAGGGGGTTGGACAACGAGGATCCTTCTTCCTCACCTCCTTCTCTCCTTCCCCTGCACCTGAGCTCCTAGGACACCAGGAGCAGAACACCGTTGTTTCTGCTCCTGTTTTTTTTCCTGGGGATTCAGAAGCCGTAACGGGAAGAATCGAGAGCCTCTTTTCACCTCTTTCTGGGATGGATTTGTTCGCCTGCCAGGTGTCTAATCCGGCGTGGAAATGCAGACACTCCAGAAGGGCCCCGGGACACGTCCCCCAACTCTGAGACTTCCACGTCGACCACTCACAGTGTCTGTGGTGAGCAGGGGCAGACTTGGCAGAAGTGGGACCTAAGCCACCCTGCCCCTTGTCCAGAGCCCTTTACATGTGAGAGTTCACCTGCCCAGAGGACTCCACAGCTCCCAGACCTCAGAGGTTCATGGTGTAGCAGGAACCCAGAATACTAGCACGTAAAATGACCTTGACTTTTCCTTGACCCCCAAACCTGTTCCTCACACCCTTGCCCCTCATGGAGCCAGCCCATCTACTGCCCCACAGGTGGCTTCTCCGAGACCTACGCCGCCCTGTGTGACTACAACGGGCTGCACTGCCGTGAGGAGGTGCAATGGGTGCGTTGGGCAGGGCCCTACTTGGGCACGTGGGACCTGGAGGGAGGGGGCAGAGGAGCAGGAGGGGAGCAGGTGTGACCCGGTCCCACCTCTCCAAGGATGTGGACACCATCTATCATGCCGAGGACAACCGGGAGTTCAATCTTCTGGATTTCAGCCACTTGGAGAGCCGGTAAGCTAATGGGGTGGAGACTCCCCCCACCACCCCAAATGCCCTTCTTGTCCCACCCACAGTCCCAGCTCTCTCTCCCCAACCCTCCCAACACGGCCTTCTACCTTTCCAGGCTTTCCCCAGCCCAACCACTCCGTCTCCAGTCTCTTCTTTCTTGCCCAACCACCCGCTCACCACTCTCTACCCCCTTCACTCTCCCCACAGAGACTTGGCCCTAATGGTGGCAGCCCTGGCCTACAACCAGTGGTTCACCAAACTCTACTGCAAGGACCTGCGGCTGGTAGGGACTTGGAGGGGTGGGGGAGGTGGGAGAGAGCAGTGTCCTCTCTGGTTCCCGATCACAGAACCCCTCTGTCCTCAGGGCTCTGAAGTGCTAGAACAGGTGCTACATACCCTGAGCAAGTCGGGGAGCCTCGAAGAGCTGGTGCTGGACAACGCCGGACTTAAGACGTGAGGCCAGCCTCCTCCTCAGGCAGCTGCGTCCCCTTCTAGTCTTAGGGCCCCAGAACCCCAGAGCATGGTACGGGCTTCTGAGCTGTCTCATCCAGCTCCTCACTTTACAGAACAGGAGACTGAGGCCCAAAGAGACAGAACACAAGCCAGTGGCCCAGCTGGGACTCAGACCTAAGCCTCCTGACCCCCAGCTCCACGGCCTCCCCCAGCATGCTCCATCAACCACCAAGCAGGGTGGGCTTCTCTAACCTCAAGGACCCAAAGCTGGGCTTTGTCTCAGCACACCTTCTCAGAGTGGTGACAAGCTCTGTGGCAGGCAGAGTCCGAGCTGCCCCCACCAGTGGGGCCTCTGGCCTTTGCAGTCCCAGCCAGACAGGCAAGTGGAAGAGGAGGGAAAGCCCAGGGGCTGGGACCAACAGATCCTTCCTCCCCTTGCCTGAAGGGACTTTGTCCAGAAGCTGGCCGGGGTGTTTGGGGAGAACGGGAGCTGCGTGCTGCATGCCCTCACTCTGTCCCACAACCCCATCGAGGACAAGGGTGAGCCCCGACCCCGAACTCTGCCCCTACCACAGGCTCCGCCGACTCCGCCCTCACCCCGAGTCCAGCCCAGGCCCGAACAGAGGCTCTCCAACCTGATGCCAGCCCTTGCCCCAACACTGTCACCCTTGACCCCGGGCCTGTGCCCCACTCAAGCCCCTGCCCGGACTCTCCACCACCTGCTGCCACTGCCCAGCCTCTCAGTGGGCACATTTCTCTCCCCATTTCCTAGGTTTCCTCAGTCTGAGCCAGCAGCTCCTCTGCTTCCCCACTGGCCTCACCAAACTGTGCCTGGCCAAGACTGCCATCTCCCCTCGAGGTATGTGTGCTAGGACCGCTGACCTTTGACCTCTGGCTCTCTCCAGTGCTTCCTAGCATGTTGAGCCCCCGCAGCACGACCCACACACCCACACAGCACCCCAGAGATCAAGGAAAGGAAAGGAGCCACGTTTTGGTGGGGAAGAGTTGCATACCTGGGGAAGAGGTGGGGGTGGGGGCCAACCCAGCCCAGTGCCCGCTGTGCTCAGGGCTCCAGGCGCTGGGCCAGACCTTTGGGGCCAACCCGGCCTTTGCCAGCTCCCTTCGCTTTCTGGACCTGAGCAAGAACCCTGGACTGCTTGCCACAGATGAGTCCAACGTGAGTCCACAGAGCAAAACCGTGAGCCCCTGCAGAAGCGCATTCACACTTTGGGGCCAGGGTCTCTGTCCCATAGCCTGGGGGTGGAGGGGCCCTATCACCCTTTCCCCTGTGACCCCTGTGTCCTTCCTTCACAGGCCCTCTACAGTTTCCTGGCCCAGCCCAATGCCCTAGTGCACCTGGACCTGGCAGGGACGGACTGCGCCATTGACTTGGTGAGGGGTTGGTAATGGCAGACCAGCCCGCGGTGATTTGGGGAGGCCAGGGTAGATCTGTGCCTCACCCCCTTCCTCAATTGTGGAGGTAGGCAGAGCTGGCAGGAAGACTTCATGTTCAGCTGAATTATAAAGCAACACTCATGGCTGACACCCGTGCTGCACTTGACCTGTGTCACTGCCCAAGGCTGTGCTGGCTGTGCCTAAAAGCTGGCACTCACTCCATTCCCCTGGCTGGGGGTGGAGTCCACCAGGAGGATAAGACGCTTTTCTTAATGTGAACGAGGCACCTTAGGACCCTGTACGGTGACCCTGGCTTTATACATCCACTGCCTATGAGCCTCCCTTCCAACCCTGGGGATAGGGCAGGGCGTAGAACCACTTTCCACAGAGGGGAAACTGAGGCAGTAAGCGGTGAAGTGGACGTCCATAGTGGTGCTCACACAGACTGACTGCAGAGGGCAAGAGCCAGGTCCTTGATGGGGAGGAAGGAGCCCCCACCCGCCCCTCTCAGCACCCCGCCCAGCCCCTGTGAGACCCACTGTGCCTCTCCCCACAGCTTCTGGGTGCCCTGCTCCATGGCTGTTGCTCCCACCTGACCTACCTCAACCTGGCCCGCAACAGCTGCTCTCACAGGTGGGGGCGTGGGGGGTGCGGGAAGGGATGGGGCAAGTGGAGGGTGCTCTCCTCCCTTGCTGACCTCAGAGGTCTCTGCAGGAAGGGCCGGGAGGCCCCACCGGCCTTCAAGCAGTTCTTCAGCAGCGCCTACACTCTGAGCCACGTCAGCCTTTCCACCACAAAGCTGCCCCTGGAGGCCCTCAGGTCGGGTGGGTGCAGGGTTGGGGGAGCTTCCGAGGGGGAACCATAAGAGAAGGGGCTAAGGGGTAAGCATGGGCCTGCTGACCTTCCTCCCACAGGGCACTGCTCCAGGGCCTCTCCCTCAACAGTCACCTCAGTGACCTGCACCTGGACCTCAGCAGCTGTGAGGTAAGCCCTCCGTCCCCCAAACCCCACTACCTGTCCCCCACCCGATGCTCATTTCTTCGACCTAAGTCAAACCCTGGCATCATCTTGTCTCTGCACTACTCCTCTGTGACCCTCAAACCTGGTCACACCTCCAGTTTCCCTTCTCACTCTGGTGCGTGTCCCTCTTTCCAGAGGTCATTTTCAGTCTCCAGTATCTCCCCCATTAAAGCTTTGTGGAAGGAGATACTAGGATTTCCCACCAGAGGGCAGGAGTGAGCTATCTCTGGTAGCAGAGCCTGGAGACTTTCTGACTGCAGGGAAGGGAGAGAGAGCCCTAAGGAAGAATCTGCTATGGAGGAGCCTCCGATTTTACACCCTGGACCTGACATGACCTTGAGTCCTGGGGTAACCACTTCGTCTCTGAGCATTAATGGTGCCCTGCCCGCACCCTCTTCCTACCTCCCTTGTCTCTGCAGCTCCGCTCTGCAGGAGCCCAGGCTTTGCAGGAGCAGCTGGGAGCTGTCACCTGTGTAGGCAGCCTGGATCTGTCGGACAATGGTGAGTGGAGGTGCTTTTCTTCCTGGGGGCAGCTGAGGTCGGGGCCTGGAGTGTGCGGGAGAAACCTTAAGGAGACTCCTGTAAGCTTCCAGCCTCAAGGCCAGGCCTCTCCCCTTTACTGGACAGGGTTCGACTCAGACCTCCTGACACTGGTGCCTGCTCTTGGCAAGAACAAGTCCCTCAAGCACCTGTTTCTGGGCAAGAATTTCAATGTCAAGGCCAAGTAAGGCCCTTCCCCATAACACAGACCCCACTCCGTCATCCACCTCTCGTTTTGGCTCCCTGGATTACCTCTGACTCCCTCCCTGCTCCCCCAGTAGCATGACCCCAGCCCCCTCCCCTCCGACGCGGCCCTCACTCCCCTCAGGACGCTGGAGGAGATCCTCCACAAGCTGGTGCAGCTGATCCAGGAAGAGGACTGTGTGAGTGACTGGGCCTGGGAGGGAACCACTGTGGCGGGGACTTTGGGAACGGGGCCCAACCCGCCCTTGCCCACACAGTCTCTGCAGTCACTGTCAGTGGCAGACTCCCGGCTGAAGCTACGCACCAGCATCCTCATCAATGCCCTGGGCAGCAACACCTGCCTGGCTAAGGTGGATCTGAGTGGCAATGGCATGGAGGACATCGGGGCCAAGATGCTGTCTAAGGCCCTGCAGATAAACTCTTCCCTCAGGTGGGCCCCCACTGGGCCCTCTGACCCCCTCCAAACCCATACCCTCGCTGCTTGCCTTGCCCTGTACCCTAGCTTCCAGGGGACCCTGAGTCCCAGAACCATCTCTGAGTCAGCCTCATTACCCAGGAAAGGAGGGGGGTGCTGTGTCCTGCCCCTTAACAGGGACCCTGAGGGTCGGGTAACCAGCTGTGTTCACCCTCTCCCCAGGACTATCCTATGGGATCGGAACAATACATCTGCCCTGGGCTTTCTGGACATTGCAAGGGCCCTGGAGAGGTGAGTGAGCCGGCCCTGCCCTGACTCAGCCCCCAACTTCCTGGGCCTGGGCCAGGCCTGCACTCACACCATATACCCCTTTGACCTCTTTTACAGAAATGTTTGGAAGGGCCATGGACGAGGGAAGTGGTCTGCAGGGGGTGGGCTTGGGGGAGCAGGAGCCCCTTCTCACCTCCTGCCTCACCCAGCTGTGCTCCTGTGTCCCACAGCAACCACACGCTGCGCTTCATGTCCTTCCCCGTGAGCGACATCTCCCAAGCCTACCGCAGCGCCCCCGAGCGCACGGAGGACGTCTGGCAGAAGGTGGCGGCCTGAGCAGGGCGGGACAGAAAGGGCAGGGGCCAGCCCAGTGCCCAGGCCCTCACCCACTCACCCACTCACCCCGTCACCTTCAGATCCAGTGGTGCTTGGTGAGGAACAACCACTCGCAGACGTGCCCCCAGGAGCAGGCCTTCAGGCTGCAGCAGGGCCTGGTGACCAGCAGCGCAGAGCAAGTAAACGTTTCCCTCGGGGACACTCGGGGTGTTCGAGGCACAGGTTTGATGTGATAGGGTGAGGCATGAAGGAGGCATCGCGTGGTGCCCGTGGCTGGACTCCATGTGTGGGGGAGCTAGGGGACAGGACATTCACAGAAGGGGTGAGAGAGCATGTGGGCAGACAGGAGGGACCCCCACCAGGGGTGCATAGGGCTGTGGGAGCTCCACTGGGCATTCCAGAAGGGCTTCCCCAGAGGGGAGAACAGGCGACATTATCACCTCCCTGTAGTGCTGGCACCAACAGTGCTGCCCAAGGAGACCCAGAAATGGGTCACCTAGGGTCCCACCTGGGAAGATGCTGTGTGGGGTCCCCTAACAGTCCCGCCGGCTGTACTCCAGATGCTGCAACGGCTGTGTGGACGAGTGCAGGAGGAGGTCCGGGCCCTGAGGCTGTGCCCCCTAGAGCCCGTGCAGGATGAGCTGCTCTATGCTCGGGACCTCATCAAGGATGCCAAGAACTCCCGGGCGGTGAGCCTCCATTGCTCCCCCTCCCCTGACAGCCCAAAGGACCGCTGGCAAAAGGCCAACCATGCTAGCCCACAAGTGCCCAGGCCCTGCCCTGTGCATCTGCCCTCCTAGCCCAGGGCAGCCGGTCCTGGTTCTCACCTTCTGGTCATAACCCCTCCCTCACACAGCTGTTCCCTAGCCTCTACGAGCTGGGTCACGTGCTGGCCAATGACGGGCCTGTGCGGCAGAGGCTGGAGTCTGTAGCCAGTGAGGTGTCCAAGGCTGTGGACAAGGAGCTGCAGGCAAGTCCTGGGGAAAGAGCCCAGTATTGACTCAGGCTCTAAGCTGAGGACTAAGGTCTTTGTGGGGGAGATTTTTGGGGGCAAGAAGGAAATGCAGAGCTGAGACCACCCACACTCCCACTGTGCAAAGACTTTGCTAGAAAACTGGGCTTGAAGTTTTTTCTCCTAGCTTCAGTCTTGGCCCCTGAACACTTACCTCTCCCCCCTGGACTGACTCTTCCCTGTCCATACGGTGGGGCAGGAGCCCAAGTGTCTGACGCTCTGCTGCCAGCTCGCCCTGTGACCTCAACAAGCCATGGGGGGCTGGAATAGACAGACTAGAGTCTCTTGCCTGTGGAGCCACCCCTGATCCTGCTGCCCTTAGGACCCTGGCCTCTCTTCTCCCATCCTAGGTGATCCTGGAGTCCATGGTCAGCCTGACGCAGGAGCTATGCCCCGTGGCCATGCGGGTGGCAGAGGGGCACAACAAGATGCTGAGCAATGTGGCGGAGCGAGTCACTGTGCCCCGGAACTTCATCCGTGGGGCTCTGCTGGAGCAGGCGGGGCAGGACATTCAGAACAAGCTGGAGTGAGAGGCAGATGGGCTGGGGCAGGGCTGGATTGGGCCCAGAGCACTTAGGGATTCGGGGCCCAGCTCTCAGCAATGAATAATGAATGGCGCAATCTCCATTACAAGGGATAAATCTTTAACCAACTGCAACCTTGCTCTTTAGGGTCAGACTGGTCTTTGCCCTAGAAATCTAAGTGCGGAGCTGGGGTTTAGGAGCCAGGCAGTGCACACACAGATGTGCACACACAAAGGGCACATACACGTGGCCACACAGGCACACCCAGATTCATCTCCTAAAAACAAAGCACAGCCTCCTCGGAGGTCAAAGAAAACTGGTGTGTGTGGACTACGCTCTGTCTGCTTCCCACTCTCCACTCCTAGACCTCCTCCACTCTGGGTCTGGGTGCCACCATTCACCAAAGCAAAGAAAAAGAAAAAGTATTACAAGAAGCGCTGGTGTCTGCTCTTAGAGCAGAGACCAGCAGATCTCACTGGGCACCCCACACACACCATTTACTCAGCTCTGTTCCACTGGAGCTCCAGGGGTCTGACCCTTTGCGCCTCCTTCCCCTTCAGTCCTCTTTGCCCACCCTCCCAACCCACACACTTCTAGGCTGGAGGTCTGTGGGTGGGACAGGCTGTGCCTTTATGGAGTGTGGTGGGCCTCAGGTGCCTCCTACCGCACGTGGGGGCCCGGACAGCCAGGCGGGTCGGCCCTCTCCCTGGGGCACCTGGGGAAGGGCGGGGCTGCGGCTCGGGGCTGGGGAAGGAGTGGCTGAGCAGCCCTTGCCTGTGCCCACAGCGAAGTAAAGCTCTCAGTGGTCACCTACTTAACCAACTCCATAGTGGATGAGATCCTGCAAGAGCTGTACCACTCACACAAGAGCCTGGTAAGGCTTCTGAACCCTGGGCAGGCTCAGACCTGCCCTGAATGTTGGGACCATACTATCTCCCCCAGACCCCTGCCCTCAGGGCTCTGGGAGGAGCACTGCTTCCTTGGGGCCCTTTGCACACCTTCCCCAGGCCCGGCACCTGGCCCAGCTAAGGACACTCTCAGATCCACAAGGGGGGCCAGGCCAAGCGCAGGATCCGTCCTCCCGGGGCCGGGGCCGTAACCATGACCACGAGGAAACCACAGATGACGAACTTGGGACCAACATTGTGAGCATCCCACCCTGATCGCCTTCCTAACCTGAGTCCTGCCCCCGAACCTACAAAATGCTGTCCCCTTCTTACCGAGCCTGGTCTCATCCCCCTGGCCCCAGCCGGCCCAGCCTCTTCCCGAATCCCAGTGCCCCAGCCACCTGAGGAGAGGGAGGCAGGAGGGACTTTTAAAAGAAGGACTTAGGAGGAAGGAAGGCTTCTGGCGAGGTTCCTGGGGTGCGCGGCCCAAACCCACTGTCCGCCTCCGTTTCTACAGGATACGATGGCCATCAAAAAGCAGAAGCGCTGCCGCAAGATCCGGCCAGTGTCTGCCTTCCTCAGTGAGTCCCCAGCTTCAAATCTGATGGCCCTGCTTCCCTCTCTTTTCTTTCTGTCTGACCAGCCTGCTTCCCCCCTGTCCCTCCTGCCAGTCCCTCTAATGCTGATGTCCCCACAGGTGGGAGCCCTCAGGACGTGGAAAGCCAGCTAGGGAGCCTGGGGGTCCCGCCTGGCTGGTTCTCAGGACTTGGGAACAGCCAGTCCACAGCAACTGGCTCCTGGGAAGGTCTATCTGAGCTTCCCACTCACGGCTATAAACTAAGGCACCAAACACAAGGCAGGCCCCGGCCCCCCAGGACCACCCCTCCGGGACCCGGTCGGCCCAGTGTGAGTCCCTAAGGCTTTGCGCGGGGGGTGGACCGACTGCACTTAGTAGAGCCAGAGCCAGGGGTTGTAGCTTTAGGACCCAAATGCCAAGGCACCAGCCTGGGGGATCTGGCAGGGGACCCAGCAGGCCACCAAAAGCGGGACTACCCAGTTTGGATGAGACCTCAACCTTGTAGCAGTAGGACGTCTGCCTGCCAGACGGTGGCAGTTTTCATGTTGGCGAGGGCTGCCCAGCTAGGGAGTTTCCAGGTGGACTGCAGCCCGCATTTCCTTGGGGGCGGGAAAGGCCAGTCCAAGTCCGAAGGGGAGGCCCTGAGTGGAAGGGAGGGTCTTCCTGGCCGGACGAGATTCCCTGCAGGACGCACCCCCAGCAGGTGCCAGTACCTGGGACTCGTCAGGAGAACGGGATGGCCACCCGCCTGGACGAGGGGCTGGAGGACTTCTTCAGCCGGAGGGTCATGGATGAAAGCTCCAGGTGGGGCACCCCGACACACGCCCATTTTCATCAGGCCCCGAGGCCCTGGAGGGACCTGTGTGTCTGCCCAGCTCCTGTGGAGGCCTCTTCCGTGACAGAGCCCCAAGCCAGTCTCTCTGGGACATTTCTCCCACATTCTCGCCCTTCCAGACCAGCCCTTATCTCCCATGTTCTCTCCAAAAGGATGGGACCACCCCAGTGGAATGGTGGGGATGGGCAGGGGCGGAGTGTGGCAGCAAGCCCTGGGTTGGGATGACCCTTAGGGTAAAAAGCCAGGAGGGAATGTTCCCAGTCACTGCTCTGTACAGAAGGAACTGGGTCACTTGGAGAGTCTGAGAGAAAGAGAGGGCAAGAGCAGTGCCTGGAAGGAAAGAGTTGATTTGCTAAAAAGGATTATGACAGGGAAGGTGGGGGCACTGTCTCTCCTGGGGTGAGTGGAATGGGCCCAGAGCGCCCGTCCAAACGAAGCTGGATGAGACGGAGAGGTGGGAGGTGTATGAGATCCGAGACTGTCTGTCACCAGCACCACCCTGGGCCCTGAGCCGCCTCTGCACCTGGCATTTGCAATCCCCCAAGGCTTTGTCATTTACTCACCTTGACCCCGCCCAGCTACCCCCGGACTCTGCGGACCCTGCGGCCAGGCCTCTCGGAGCCGCCCCTGCCTCCACTCCAGAAGAAGAGGCGCCGAGGCCTGTTTCACTTTCGTCGGCCCCGGAGCTTCAAGGGGGACCGGGGGCCAGGGTCCCCCACCACAGGGCTCCTCCTCCCTCCGCCCCCACCCCCACCCCCGACTCAGGAGAGCCCCCCCAGCCCAGAAACCCCCAGCGTGGGCAACAACTCCTCCCCCTGCTGGAGCCCAGAGGAGGAGAGCGGCCTCCTCCCTGGATTTGGCAGGGGCCGGGGGCCTTCCTTCCGCAGGAAGATGGTAAGTGGGGCAAGAGGTACTACGTCCTCCCTGTTTGCTGCCCACCCATACACAGCCCACCTGCCCACCCCACCCCAGGCAATTGATGGGAGGATGCTAGGAGTCGGGACTCCGGGGAGCTTTGGTCGTCCCAACTCCCTGCTCCTTGAGAGCGGGCTGGGCCTGGTGACCCAGAGCATGCTGGGAGTGCTGCACACGTATCTGGTCAGTGGAAGGACTGTTCAAAGGGTCTGGGCAGGGATTCCCCCACAGAGGCGGGGCAGGGGCCCTCCCCGACTCCCTTGCTGCTGATGGAGCCCCTTCTAACCGCAGGAACTGTTTGTAAACCTCGTTTCAGGGCATCGAGGGGTCAGAACCAGGGGAGGGGAGCCAGGCCCCTGGAACAGCACAGCAGCCAAAGGTCCAGGGTGTTGCCCTTCCTGGGTTGGGAAGAGCCAAAGGTTGGAGCTTCGATGGGAAACAAGAGGTGAGGGGAGCCCGAGGCTGCGAACTGAGGGTCTTGTGGGTCCCTGTCTACCACCCTCCACCTCCCACACCCCCGTCCCTGGTGAGTCAGTGGAGAGAGCCATGCTTTAGCGTTAGACGGTGTTAGCTGCAGCTCTGCCCATTCCAGACGCTGGCCGCAGAAACCTGGCCAGGTCGCTTAACCCCCTGAGCCTCTACTTCCTTATAAAGCGGGCAGTGTTCATAAAAGTACTGACCTGCAGATCTCTGTTTCCCAAACTGTGGCGACTTGATCACCACCTCAGGGACTGACTTTTTACCCTCTCCACATTCCATCTGTATTATTATTTACATAATATCTTAATTCAACTCACCTTGTGTAACCTAGTCTGGACCTGTGCATTATCTTTGAAACCAGTCATCTTTTCTTGTACACATAAAATTAACATATAACTATTAAAATAACAGTATTTTCATTCATGGGAGCTATTTCTTATGCCCCTAGGGTGGTCCGGGTGCCATCTGTGGGAAAAAACGGCCCAAGCATCTAGGGACTAATGACACGAAACACCAGGGCAGAAGCCCCTTGCTAACTGCAGCCCCCGGCTGGAGGGTCCTTTTCTGATGGCCTGACTCAGCTGTCCTTTCAGGGCACAGGCCCAGACCTGGAGGGCAGTGTCCAGGCTTGGCAGAGACGGCGCTCTTCGGATGATGCAGGTGAGAATGGTCACCCTCCCTTCCTTTGACCCCTCTCTCAGGGGACCCCCCTAATTTGCCCGTCCCCTCTCTCCCCTGCAGGGCCTGGAGCCTGGAAACCGCCCCCACCCCCCCAAAGCAGCAAGCTGAGCTTCAGCGCCATGCGCCGCGCGGAGGCCACGTGGCACATAGGTATGGCACAGCCCTTCTCAGGCAGCAGCGCTGAAGGCCCGGGGTACGTACACACAGACAGAGGCCATGCCCCCGGCGTCTGGGAGTTTTATGGCCGATGTGGGGCAGTGAGAAGTCGACACGGTGAAAATGCTTAAGGATATTTACAGAGCTATAACCAGAAGAGACAACCCGATCCAAACACAGCCCCTACAGAATAAAAGCAGCTTTGCCGAGATTGGCAGGCCACAGCAATGTGTTCTGGGTGATTCCAGATAATTCTCCAGGGCAGGGGCCATATCTGGTCCTGTCAGCAGAGTCCTAGTC